TGCTGCTGTTGTTGTTGCTGCTGCTGCTGCTGTTGTTGCTGCTGTTGCTGCTGCTGCTGTTGTTGCTGTTGCATACATGCCGTGTACTGGGATGCAATGGGTTGCGGAAACGCTGGATAGTACTGGGCTAGCTGCGTGAGATGTGATTGCGCCTGCGATGATTGTAGGTGTGCGGGCTGCGGGAGATGCTGCTGCTGTTGTTGCTGCTGCTGCTGAGAGGACTGCTGGTGTTGCTGGCTATGCTGCGGATATGTGGGTATGTTAATGGTTGTTGCTGGCGATACAGAAGCCGTATTGTTCTCCGTTTTTAGCGGTGTATTCCACTTGCTATTAAAATCGTAATACGTATTTTGCTGTTGCTGCTGTTGCTGTTGATTGTGCTGTTGTTGTTGCTGCAACTGGTGATGCTGTGACTCCTGCGGACTGCGCACCGTACTGTATTCGCTACTTGGAATAAGCGTCTTCTTCGGTTGTCGTTTGCGCGGCGTCTTTGCTGGCTTGGGCGGGGGCTTTACATCCTCCTGCAATTGGACCAATAATAAACTTTTATTAACCCAGCACTTAATATGTTCTTTTAAAGTCATTTATATATTAAGATTGCATTTGGGATATTTTCTTTTTATAGGTATTACAAAGATGACATAAAACTTCCTCAACAACAACGTCACGTCACAGTTTCAAATTGACCACAAGATTTCGCCAATAAGACAATTAGCTGTATTTGCTATAATTTATTAGTTTCGACAGAACGTACGTATGTATTTATATTTAACGAAAGAAAAGCAAAAACAAAACCAGAGAAACGAAAACATAGAACAAAAGCAATAACAAAAAGTTCATAATCAAATCAGACACAACACCGCCACCAAAATGTAAACAGTAATATAACAGAAAATAGATAACAGAAGTTCTTCGCGCCGCCAAAAGGGAAGAAGGCATATGAGTTAACATAAAAAGTTTGCATAAATACGCGATCAGACAAAACAAATAGAAAAGTTACTATTATATATGTATGTATGTATATACATTCATTATTGAAATAAGTACGTTGTTATACAAATGGCTAGAAGCGGTTCGATTATGAACTAGTTCTACTCTTTGGAATCGATTGCAGATTCGTATAACAGCCGTTAGGTGGTAAACAAAACGCGAAATCAAAACATCAAAATAATAACAAAGCAAAGCACAACAAACTTAAAAACAAGAAAACAAACGGAAAATTAATCCAAAAATAAATACATACAAATGAAATACAAACCTTTGGCACTGTTTGAATCTGTGACGCTAAGCTGCTCGGAGTCCCTGGCGACAATATCATATTAGCCACAACGTGTTGCCGCCTGCCTTGTGGCGAGCTGGAACTCTGCTGCTGTTGTTGCAACAGATGCTCCTGGGCTACAGCCTGCGCCTGCGCCTGTTGCAAAGACACAGACGCGGCCGAATCTACAGCGACGACCGCTGGCTGATAAAACGTTTGCTTTATCTCAAGACCCGGTGGAAGATTAAACACGAGATTCTCGCCAGCATCTGTGCCGCCAGCCGCATCATTGGCATAGTCCAGCTGCCGATGCTCTTGCTTGACATGCAATTGCAATACGCTCTTAATCTCTTCTTGCCCATCCTCTGGCTTTGTCCAGCAATGCTGCTGTTGCTGCTGTTGTTGTTGTTGTTGTTGTTGCTGCTGTTGCAGGTGCTGTTGCTGCAGTGTGCTTTGTATCACAGATGAGTAGGCCACCGTTGTGGGCGCTGCAGACGAACCCGCGCCTGCCACGTTCATTACGGTGCGTCGCGACACTGGCGAACCAGTCGAACCAGCCGCTACTGACGCCGCCACCGGGGCCGTTGCCGTCTTATAGACAATCACCTGGGGTGATCCACCGACATCGACCGTGTGTAAATTCGTGATAGGTGATCCATCCGCCGAGCTCAAGGCCGGACTCGCATACTGCGCTGCATACGCCGGACTCGCATTCTGCTGTTCAATGTGAATCGTCTGAGTATCCTTGCGTGCCAGCTTCAGTTTTTGCCCATCTATGGTATAATATGTTTCTGCCTCGGCAATCTCTTGTTGCAATTGTTCTTGTTGTTGCTGTTGTTGTTGTTGCTGTTGTTGTTGTTGTTGTTGCTGTTGCTGTTGCTGTTGTTGCTGCTGCTGTTGTTGTTGTTGCAATTGAGTGAAGTAAATTAGATCGTTGTACGCTTTGAGATGCGCCTTGGTTTGTTGTGAGTTTTCTTGTTTGATTTGCTACAGATTCGTTGCAGTTGTAGGCAGTTGGTTGATATTTGATTTGTACATAAATTTGATGGAAACGGAAATTGTTTTTGTTCGGATTTCGTTACATATATATACAGTACATTACATACATAGACAGTTAAAGGCATAAGTAAGTAGTTGAGGCATAGTCTAAGCAGAGTTAGTATTTGGATGTGTAAGAGGAGCATCAAAAGGGACCCAGCATTAAAAGCTTTGAAACACTCTAACTAGCTCTAAGAAAAACTTGGTCATATCAGTTATATTATTATATGGAAAGATAATCATTCAAATTGTGAACTTAGTGTATCATTTATCACCTAATCAATCGTTTTGTCCATTTCTCAATTATTTGCGAATCACAATTCCCTAAATCTCTTAAGCTAAAAGTAAAGCCTGTTCAAATGCATCGATTAGTGTGTGTATTGAGCATTGCTTACGGAATACCAAGGATACCAACACAAATACTGAGCCCCTCGAGCCCCTCCTCCCCGGCCATGGCCTTCTGCAACTCTGTGTTAAATATTGTTGCAACAATTGGATTTTATACTCACCACTTTGTCGGCCACTAGATTCAGTTGCTGTTGAGCTTGTTGCTGCTGCTGCTGTTGTTGCTGTTGCGCCTGCTGCTGTTGCTGCTGCATGGCAAGGAACGTGTTGGATATCATGTTGGGCGTGTTCCACGTCAACGATGTTGATGTTAGGGCTACCGTGGTAGGTGACGGCGAGGCGCCACTTGACGATGAGTTTTCGCCGTAGTAGTTCGAGGCAACATTATTAACGGCAGCGGCGGCTGCAGCTGCCGAGGAGACAGCCGCCACCGCAGCCTGGTTCTGAAACGAGCTGAGCTGCTTGTCCAGCGTGGGCAGCTGCAGTTGTTGTAGCTGTCGGTGCGGCGTGTTGACCGTCGATGAGGCATAATGCGCAGGCTTTGGCTGCACGCTTGCCGCGGCTGCATGATGATAAATCTGCTGGAATACTGGATTGTAGCTGCCAATGGGCGATGGTGGCACAAAACTGCCGCCGCTCGCTGCAGCCGCATTGAAGCTAGCAAGACTGGCCGCTGTAATTGTTGCTAAATGTGGGTGCTGAAATTCCTCCGCTGTGCTGCCCGTGCTGCCTGTGGAACCGGGGACGATGCGATTGTAAGCGTAAGACCAGGGGCTGGAGTTGGGATCCATGTGGTGTGCTTGAGCTGGAAGCAGGTATTTTTGTTTGGGGTTAATTCTTGTATTCTCAGTATGCCATAAACATCAAATGCAGATTCCAGGGCTGCAACTACAGACACGGTCTGCTCAGCTCGATACCAAATCGAGACATGCATATATACATGTGAAATTCGTAATCGTTTTTATTCTTTAGTATTCAATTTGTATTCCACTTGCCGCAATCACTGGTTTTATGATTTATCAAATGAACTTTCATTCGACAATATGCTTTAATGAGTACATCAATACAGTTTCGTTTTATGCAGCCCTAGCGACAAGTGCATTTTTCGCAGATACTTTGATATTTATACATATACACACATACATACGATGATAAATTATGCCGCGCACAGTTTGGCGTGTTTAGGAAGGCACATTTTTTCTTATTTTTACAAGTTCTTTCAAATTAGACAAGTTGTATTTGGGTATTTACATACATATGTATGCGTGTAAGTTTGTACATCAGTTTATATTTCCTTTGACCACTTTTAACATATACATACTTATGTACGTATGTATGCTTAAAGTATATGTATGCAAGTACATACATACATGTGTGCGTGCGTTGAGAGATAGTCACTAGCAAAGCAACTTGGTCGTTTTACTGTTTCGTTGCGTTCACACTGCGATGGATCATCTTTATTATTAGCTTTGATTATGCACTTGTCTATTTACGTTACAATTTTAAGTAAAATTATTTTGTAAACTACTACAATTGGGCTGCATAACTTTTTTGTGGGTGAAACAATCTCCAAAATGGCCGCTCAAGTACAAATGAACTATTGTTCATTTGAACTATGCACACGTGAATCAGTTCGATGAAAGTCGTGTGCTTATGTTAGCCGAAGTGTTAGTTTTGCTTTGAATTTTGTTTGATATCTGTATTATATCTGTAGTAATATTTGTTTGGTGAGTATAGTTTACAGTATAAGCACATTATTTCCATTCTTATATACAAACCTAGTAAATGCATGTGTAACAATGTGCGTAAATACAGTACTTATGTATGTAAACACGCATATATATGAATTTATTTCCTACCGAAAAGTGTTGTAAAATTTGATATCTTTGTACACCACTGATCAACTAAACTGTAAGAAGCATTCCAACCGGTAAATTTGTTTGGTCAAATAACAAACACATATGTTGCACACATATTATTTAGAAAATACTTTATTTGTTTTAATTGCCCCTTGTCACTGGTCAGTACTCTTGTCTAATAAATGCATATATGATATATTTTATTATATCTTGTCTTTCGTAAAATAAAATCCGCGCTGAAAGTTATTTTATTTTATTGTTTCTACTCTTATAATGTTAGTCAATTAATTATCATTCAAACACGTTATAAATATATTTACTCACAATTGACGTAATATTCATTAAAAATAATATAATTTGAATTGAAATACTGTCAATCGATACTAGCTTAAATTGGTGTATTATCGATAACTTGTAATCTCTATTAGTGACTGTCAATTTACTCACTACGAGTTTTTTTTACAAAAAGAAAAGAGGAAAAACTTTTGGATAATACGTATTTAAAACATTATTTGTCAATACGTTAAAACAAAAACTAAATAAGTTAAGCAAACACTTCTCCAATAACTAAAAAGGTATGCAGTATTGTATGAAATCCATTATTGCACTTAGGTTGATATTTACACATTCTACGTGTAAGTGAAAATACGCCCATTAACTGTAATCGTGCTCTTTTAGAGTACAATGGATTTGGATTTTGGAGACGACTTTGCTGCCAAAGAGGAAGTTGATCCAGCTGCAGAGTTTTTGGCACGCGAGCAATCGGTTCTTGGAGACCTTGAAGCTGAAATAACTGGTGGATCTGCCACAAGTGCAGTTGCTGCACTTGCAACCGATGATGGACTGCTGGGCGGCTTAGTCAGCACCGGGGCCGAGTTAGGCAGTGAACTCTCTGCCAATGTGGGAGGTGGTCTCGAATCATCGACTGGCAGCTTCGAGGTCATCGGCAGCGAGACTAACGAACCAGTTGGTATCTCAGGTCCTCCGCCGTCGCGTGAAGAACCCGAGAAAATAAGGAAGTGGCGCGAGGACCAAAAAAAGCGGCTAGAGGAGAAGGATATTGAGGAGGAGCGTAAAAAAGAGGAACTCCGCCAGCAGGCCAAGAAGGAGCTAGATGATTGGATGCGCCAGATCGAAGAGTCCATTTCGAAAACAAAACTATCGTCTCGCAATGCTGAAGCTCAAGCCGCGTCTTTAGAAAATGGAGCAGTCGAACCTGGAACTGAATGGGAACGCATCGCCAAGCTGTGCGATTTTAATCCTAAGGTCAATAAATCTGGAAAGGACGTCTCACGTATGCGGTCAATTTACCTGCATCTGAAGCAGAATCCCATACAAGTACAGAAAATAGCTTAAAATATACAAATATATATAAATATAAATAGCCCTATTACGCACCTACTGAAACATTTCGATTTGACTATTTAGATTCTGATACAAAGTATTTTTTGTAAATTCCAATTATATTAAATATGTATTACATACGATTATTTTGCTTCTGAAGTGTGTTATATGATATTGAATATAAATAAAAATGTAATCATATGCATAACATTTGTTTTATTTTTATCTATAATTAGCGAGTCCAAATATTAAATATTTTTCTATTTATTTGTATTATTATTTTTAGTGTGATGTCTGAAGAAGTGATGGATAATAATAAGGATCGTGCGGAGAGTATTGAGAACTCGACGTCTTCCCACAATCAAAAACGAAAAGATTATCTACCGTGGGACGATTACTTCATGGCCACCGCAATACTCTCATCGAAGCGAAGTAAGGATCCCTCTACGCAGGTTGGAGCCTGTGTCGTAGACAACCACAATCGGATTGTTGCTATTGGTTACAATGGCTTTCCAAGAAACTGCAGCGACGATGAGTTTCCATGGTCGAAGGACGAAGATAAGAATTCGATGAAAAATAAATACATGTATGTGGTGCATGCTGAAGCCAACGCGATACTAAACAGCAATTGCACCGCACTAGACGGTACGCGTCTTTACACAACTCTCTTCCCATGCAATGAGTGCACAAAGTTAATTATACAATCGGGCATCCGGGAAATATATTATTTATCTGACAAGTATAGGGATAAGCCTACGTATCGAGCTGCCAGGCGGATGTTTGATGCAGTTGGCATTGTCTATAATCAGTTTATCCCAACGCAAAAAAAGATTACTATCGACTTTGACTCAATTAAGTAAAATGATATGATTATCGTTAGTTAGACGTAGAGCAGCTAACTTGAACTAGTTTAATTGGTTTTATCCTGTTTGTTGTGTAATTCCTTCTAATAAAAAAGCATACAAACCACAATTACGTACATTATCTATATATATATTTGACATAACTATATTTCTAAGATGGTCTTCGGTTGTTGCTCAACATTAAAAAATACAAAAATTACTGCACATCTGTCGAATCGGCAATGTTTGAGTTCTCCTCAGACTTTTTTGACACGGGCGAGTCGGATAGATGTGGGGACAGGTCTCGCAGCTTTACCACATTGCCCACTGAAACCGAATTCGCAGCTTCTGTGACAGAATAGCCAATGTCCGGCGGCGTACCTTCCGGATAGCCTAAATAGTAATCGGCAATGCGGCCAGCCTCACGCAACCCGCTTAAATACGCGCCGTGGACAGTGGCCGGATAGTTGCGTATCGTGTGCTCACCGGCAAAGAAGAGCCGCGGTAGTTCCTCGGTGTCTTTGCTGAAATGTGGCTCATGACTGGTGGGCGGAATAACAGGTGCAGCGAGCAAATCATAGTCGCTGCCTGAGGAGCCCACTGACACATAGCTATATGAGCCGCGGGCCCACTGATCACTGCGCCAGCGAGTGACGACCGTCTCTTTAGGCTGTGGAACCGATGTATTGCCGAAGATATTCTTCAGCACGGACATACAGCGCCCGATGATGATGTCATCTGTCACGCTCTCCACAATATTGGCCGCCATGCCAGCGACAAGAGCCAGCAGCACGGGTGACGAGCTGATGCTCCAGAAGAGAAACATTTCCCCTAATAAAGTAAATCTTTTAATGTTTTTAACGTAAAATGAATAGAAAGTCAGCTACTTACCACGACTAGCAGTCGTGCTGCCCACGTGCCCAAAGAGATTCGCATTGGGATCCCAGAATATACGATCGAAGCAGAGCACCACCTTGTTCAGATTGCCAAATCCCAACCGACGTATCGCCTGCTGCTTCCAGTCTGGCAGTGGCGGATCGAATTTCACTGTATTGGCATGATGTGCCTCCTCCTGTGTGACGGCTACCTTTAAAACGCCCAGCGTAAGCGTACAGACGGCTAAGTCGGCCTTGTAAGTCATAAGCGAGTTTGAAGTCTTCAGATTTTCGGCCACAATCTCGACGCCTTTGCTGGTGTACTTGATTTCCTTGACCGCACTGTTAAGACGTATGTCTATATTCTCGGTGAGAGCAACTGGCACACAGGAGTACCCATTTCGCACTGTCGTGTGGTGTCCAATGAACTCGAAGTCATCGTCCTGATCCCAGTGCTTCAGCGACAAGTTGTCTAGGCGGGTGGCATTGGCAAACTCCAGATTGGCAAAGTGCCAGTCGAGTATCAGACGATCACGCGAGGAGAGATACACCTGGCTGTATGAGTGAAAAGTGTAAGGGTCAAGAGTTCATGTCTATAGATAGAATCTGACTAACCTCGGTGCGTTCTGTTCGATTTCCTGCAGTTTCATCTCCAATTTATGGCCCTCGATGCGTTGCTCCGCCTCGGAGCTTATAGCATCCTCCAGTTTAATTTGAGTGTTGCGAATCGCGTACTCCTGGGACGCATAACTATTTTCATTGTGTGCGCTCCTTGGCTGTCGCTGTTTAATTAGATTTTGAAGATCTGACCTAAGCGTCGCAATCTTCTGTAAGGTGGCTTTAAGCCGTTTTCGATGTTCAATGATTCTTGTTTGGGCAGAAATAATCTCGTGCATATGGGCAGCTCGTTTCTCTTGCACAGCTTTGTCTTGCATATTGATGATCCATTCGAGAGCATCGCCCAATGAAACTGGATTGTTGCCGGCATAGTTGAAGTCTAGGCGATGCGACAAATAGCTTGCCGACTCCAGTAGGCGGTTAAATTCACGCTCGATGACATCATCCTTTTCTTTGGGTACCGGTTTTCCGTCAGGTCCGTATAACGGACATGTCTGCTGGATTGGCACCAGATCCATGCCAATCTGTTTGCTCAGAATGGTCATGGGATTGCCGTAGACACCAGTTACTACCATGGCGCCAAGGTCTGCAATGTAGCTATTCTTGCGAAAGGTGGCAATGCGGCCGCCAACCCGATCTCTTGCCTCCAGCACAATGACATCCATGCCAAATTGTTGCAGCTGTTGCCCAACGGCCAGTCCGGAAATTCCGGCTCCAATTACGATTACCTTGCCAAGCTTTTTACTGGGTATTGGCGACAGACGCTTAAAGATGCCGAAATTTATGAAGCCGTGCCGTTCCAGAAACGAGTGCACTCGCCTAACCAGATTCGGGTCACTGTCAAAGGGCGGCGGCAGTCGCTTGAGCGCACTGTCAAAAGTCAACTGGGTCTTGGGATTGTCCACCCACATGTGTAGCAGGCTGTTGCGAATATTAAGGAACACTCGATGACCGAGTATTCCCGAGCAGCTTATATCTGGGAAGCACGCCTCCTCGTTGGGTGTCATTTTGCTAAAGGGCAGGCGCGACTGAAAGACGGCACCTTCCTGACCCGAGAGTACCGTTGGGGTGCTGTTGTCCCGCGCTTCTCCATTGGTCCCATTTGTATCCTTTGGCAAAGTACTGCGTGATCCAGTGCCCGTACTCTGATTAGCCCCAGCCTCCGTCTTGCGGGTACGTTGTTCGGCCTGTCCCTGACTTCGCTTATCTGTCAGGCCCGAGCTGCTACCCGAAGAGCCAGAACTGCATTTGTCGGAGGCCGTATTCTCCGCACTGGCAGTTGCCGGTTTATTTGTGTAGTCGACCTTAGGCTTGTTACGCCGGCTGGTACGTCGCTCGTCACTGGTGGCGGGTGTGTCATTGGAATCATCATCGAATTTCGCCTTTGTATGGCTAGCAGCCTGGCTACCACTCCCAGAAGGATTTCGTTTGGGCGACGGCTCGCCGTCGGAGTCATCGCTAATAAGGGTAACATACTCAATGGGTTCGCCCATTTTAGCGGCACTGGTACCACTACCACCGGACTGAGTAGGCTTCATTAAAGAACTATTGATAATGTTAGAACCAAACTGAAACTGCTCTTCAAATCGGAATGCGAGTCACTTCCTTATTTCAAAACTTACATTTGTGGTAATACAAAATCAAAACTCAAGCCGATCAAAAGTTGATATATAGTAGCTTAGAACGAATTTATTTTACACATCTTAAATTTATTTGCCGGCATTGAATGTCGGTATGTCTACTTGCACGCTAACTGTTACTTTAACTTATAACTTTAAATATTTGTTTTTTTTTTTTATGCATTGCAAAAACAAATCCTCCGATGTGCGACGGCTTTTATCGTGTACTATTAATGTTATTCTGCACTGTAAGCAACAGTGCTAAGCACGAACTTAACAGTGGCACGAAATTTAACATTACCTTGAGTAACAGACCTCAAAATATGAGATTTACTGTTGAAATTGAGAGAAATACATTTATTTTCACATGTGCATAGTAATGTAATATCCTTTGAAAAAAATGTTTGTTTGTTTGCATTTTATTAACTGAAAACACCGAGCATCAAATATAATTGGATCAGTGCTGTAAAATACTTATCACTTTGTCTATCGATACCAAGTATATTATGCGATTATTTCTGCACTTTAAATATAACGGAACATATGTATATAAAATAAAGCAGTGCAACAATTGAAAACAGTTGTAATGCATATGCATAATATACTGGTTTATTGTGGGTTAATAACGAACATGATTTTGGTTTTATAAAAGAAATTTAAAATGTTGGAGAGTTAAGTACACGCTTTAGTCACGCCCATCACAGCAGCCGTCGTAAATAATTTCACTGACGCAGGCTTGCACTCTCTCATTGAAGAAGTAATCCCAATGGCAAGTTTTCTCCGCAACTTCGACACCATCAACACATTCAATATAGTTGTGGCAATCATTACTGCTGCTGGTCACAAGCATCGTTCCGCGTCCTTCGCACCGGTTGTAAGTGCAAACCACTGATGTGGGCTCGGCGCACATTTGCCTAGTGTTGTCGAAGAAAAAGCCCTCCGGACACTGACTCCACCAGGGATCAATGTCGTGAACAGCGCCGTAGTCACCGCAGTAAAAGTAACCACGGCAAGTGGCACCGTCCGGCTGGTAACCCTTAATGGGCTTAGATTTCGACAAGCATACGTCCTTCTTGGAATGTGCATTACAAGCGACTAGGTTCTTAGCCTTGCAGGTTCCACTCTCCACGTCAAAATACTGCGCTGAGGTGCAGGACTTGAGCGTGTGCTTTTTACTCTTGCACTCGTAGTACTCGTTACAATCACTCTCTTGCCGAAACTTTGTTTTATCCGGCAGCAGCTCACATATATTGGCAACATCCACACAAATTGAATCACTTTCGTGCTGGCAGGACTGCGTTGTTTCATTGAAGTGCTGGGTGCCCTCGCAGTGGCCGGCCAGGGATTCTCCATTTCTACAGTACAGATAGTTGTGACAGTCCGTTGGATCGGCCACCCACTTGCCGTCCTTGCCCTCACACAGGTTGCCACAGTGCACACTGTTACTAGCCGTCGCCTTCACGCACTTCTGGGAGCTGGCGTCGAAGACCAGATCATCGGCGCATTTGTGCAGGATGCCGTTGCCATTTTTGCATTCAATGTACTCATTGCAGGAGGCGGGCTTCCGGATGTGGATGCCATTCTGGAACAGCCGACACATATCCTCAAAATTATACAGTGCTTGCAGAGACTGAGGCAGGCACAGGGCAAGCAGGATCAGTCCAATACAAAATCTCAATGGCACTAAAAAGCAATGGGAAAGTAATCAATCGTATATGGTAATATTCTCGGGAACTGTACTAACTGCCGAAGGTACGCAGCTCGCGCAAAACACCTGTCAATTATAAATGTCTTTTTGCTCACCTTGCATTGTTGATTGATTGGGAAATACCTTTCGTATTTCTGATTTCGATGTTACTGTTCAAATGGTTTGTCTTTAACTAAATGGGGATTGGTGCTTGGAGAGAATTTATATATGGAACAGAATGTCGCTGATACCTTATACCTAATACCTGATACCTGCTACTTGATAACTGATTCTGCAACAAATTAGGGGTATATGTTCTCAGCGGTTCAAATCTTATCTTTGTTTTGCCAAAATTTGTGCAGCCGTTGCCGAATGTAGCGCCAACCAAAATAGAGTTTTCCAAATAGACATTTTATTTATTAAGGCTAAGGCAGCTTACTCTAAAGCATTTCAGCAGCAATCGAAATCGTTTATTATGTGATATATGCCTGATAGATAGGTAATAACCAGCTGGTCTCGGCACATAACAAATTATTCTCGGCTCATAAATCCTTCGAATTGATAAACTGATTGCCGAACGCCGCGGCGTTCATTAACTCTATTGAAATTTTTTGTTTAATGTGCGTAAGACGGACATTCATATCTATCTCAATTTTTATATTTCACTTGTAATGGTACATGAATAAAAAATAAAAATCTGATATGGGAATATTTGTCGAGAGTGCTCTACTCAAACATACCCTCTACACTAAAATTGGACAATATATATTTATCCAAGCTATGGAATTACACATTTCAAAAAACCATTTTTTGAATAATAATAATAATAATAATGATAATAATAATGAAATTCTGTTGGAATATGTAGAAGGATACTATGATATAATATGCTAGATGATACGAAAGAGAAAAATTGACAGAATGTGAGAGAGCTAGAGTCGGCAAATGGGAGCCATTAGTAAAACCTTTAGAAATTGAAAATGATCTCGAAGGATCGATAAATGAAGGCAATATATAATCTGATAGTGAATATACAGATTTATAGTAAACATATTGTTGATGAGTGATTTGATCTCGCAAGAACAAGGAATTATAAATAATGAAATCATTTGGAGAGTGTCCAATCTCTTGTTTATGGTAAATATCCTGTTTAAGAATTTCAGACTTTTCTATTGTGTCTATTGAAGCCTTCAAAAAGAAATTCTGTCAAGAGGGATGGAAGATGACCTAACGAGCACTACCTATTTCTGTGGGAGACTTAATTCGGTCTACCCATTCGATTATAAAAAGTTTATTATGAATATAATATGTGTTCAATTGCCTTATTACAGAGCCCTTGATAATATGGCAAGATCATTAAAGTATGCTGCACATATTTCTTGCATCAAAGAATATAAGACTGAAAATATCTTATAGCTTGATGCCCAAAAGTATATTATAGAAAAAATCCAAATTACGAATTACCAATAAAGGAACGAGTAGTACGATGTCTGTTCGGCTCTAAGTCTCTAAGATAATTGAGTTAAATATGAAAAAATAAGGAGTAAAAGCTAAAATATATATACTTATAAGTTAACGTAATTAAAACTATTTCTGATCAATATTTATTATATATTATATACCCAAAATGGAGATATAAATAAATTTCAAGCTTTCAATAACGCAAAAATAAACTGCGCTCATGCAGACAGATGTACAGCAAGACGGATAATGCACAAAACTAATATACTCATTTTGCTTTCGTATGCTTTCGCTCAAAAGTATGCATTTCATACTTTTCAAAAAACGAATAAAATTACAAAAAAAAAAAAAGCAACAATTCCTTTAAGATAGATTTCGTAGAACACAATTCAGCGGAAATGGTATTGTTCGTAAACGTTGTCAACGATATGGAATGACACAATGACAGGCTCGATACGATTAGTTGACGAGTAACGCAGTTAGCTGGAGACGACGATCAATAATTGGTATGTCATTGAATTAAAAAATAATTACACAAATAAACAGTTGTCCACAAGAAATTGATAATCCGGACGGCACTTGACGATTGACGATAACAAAGATGATAAATCGAGCTGCGGGAAAAATAACTCAATGACGTTCGATCGGCTAGGTAATATGATTAGGGAATGTTCGCATATAAAGCCAGTCGCTAGAAATCGCAGCCCCATTGCTACTTTCTGGTACACTGAATAGAGAAAAAGGAAAATTAAGAATATGTTAGGTGAGGCAAAGCATTATCGCATTTTAATTATGGTATTTTTCAGTGTTTCAGTTGCGGGTAAGCTTATCTGCAAAAGTGCGAACAGTTTTAATTAAACGCACCCAGATAGGCTATTAGATGGAGCTGGCAGGCTTGGCTCTCTATATAAAGCATATCGTGCGATTGGTAGGCTTAGTATTGAGTTGGTGTGCTCCTACAGCATACGCGGCTATCTAATAAGTCAACTACAATCGAACCCAACCGAACCGGTCCGAACCCAACGCGATGACTGGTAGGCCTGTGATACTAAAATGCAAAAAATACCAGAATGGATAGCAGCAAAAGGATTGGGAATTAATCAGAACGCTTTTCATTTTGCAGCTTTCCACTTGAAGGCAACTGTTCTGGCGACGGCCTGCCTAATGCTGGCCAGTCAGTCCGCTGGCTATACGATGCAGGACATGTGTGCCCAATGGTCGGGCAGCGGATATATTGGCAATCCCGCCGATTGCAACAGCTGGGGCTACTGCAAGGGCCAGCAGCTTATAGGCTATGGCACCTGTGACAAAGGTCTCGTTTACGATTCGCAGACGCAGACTTGCCGGCCAGAATCCACCACGACGTGTTCGACCAGCGCCCAGAAGACATGCAGCGCACTGAAGACACCTGGATTCGTGGCCGATCCCAACGATTGCACCAAGTATACGTATTGCTTTGGGGATGGCACCGCCAAGACAGTATCATGCCCAGCTGGTCAAACGTATGCCGCCAACAACAACACGTGCGTGTGGGGCCCAACATGCCCACAGAACTCCATCTGCCGTTTCATGCCCAACAATATCTTTATTGGCGATCCGAACAATTGTGGCCAGTATCTGCACTGTGTCAATGGGTACGGAGTGTGGGGCCAGTGCACAACTGGAACATTTAACGCTGCCACCGGATACTGCCAAAAAGCCAATCCATGCTCCGACGACGACACCAGTAACAACATCAACAACAATAATAACCCAGATCTTCCAGCTCCAACCACACAGAACTGCACCACAGGGGATACGTTTATTGCCGATGGGAAGACTTGTTACGGTTACTACTTCTGCAAAGATCCTGCTACTTCTAACATTGGTGTTTGGGGCTCGTGTCCGTTAGGCTTGGAATTTGATCCAGACGAAAAAATATGCGTTTCTCCCGCTAGTTTAGAATGTACGTATAACCGTTGTGCAAATACTAATTTGACATACGCCGTTGTTGCGAATACAAATTGCACGGAGTACACATACTGTCCGACTGGTGGCAGAAGCTATTGTAATCCGGAATACCCCTATCTGGACGAGATAAGCGGACAATGTGTGCCCACAAAGCCAACGTACCCTGTTTGTGGACCCGTAGAAACGTAAAAGGAAAACTATTTTACAAAAACGGACAAAATGGATGATAATATCTTAAGGACCGCAGTGGCTTCATATTCAAACATTGCTAAAGTCGATTGCACATAAATAAATAAATCAGTTAATCTAGCACTCTGACCTAAGTATTTTCATATTTTATAAATTTGACAGGGATATCTATTTCGGGAACTTTGGTTCAATCCAAGTAATGGATGGATACGATACGATTAGATAAGATGCCTTTGTCAGAAGCGAGTGATATGAAAAGGCCATAAGGGCCATGTCTCGAATATTCTAGTCATCTCGTCGAGGCCAGAAATCGCTCAATTATTCAATTTGACTATTGTACGGAATTTTTCTTTGAATTCAGAACCGATCGAGGGTTGATGGCATGGCCACCGAAACAGCGAAACAGCGAAACATAAAACACCGAAAAAGCAAGTCACTGAAATAGCGAAACCCGAAAAACCCGAACAATCGAACCGCCGAGTCACCAATGGGCCATGTTATTGCCGTGTAATTTACATGCTGTGCGCTATCAGATGCGAGTGCTATCGCGCACATTGATATCTGATATCAGAGACAGGCAAAGACATTGACATCGACATTGCCTTCCTTGGGCCTGTGCATTTTCAAAATTGATTTTTTCGCTAAACGGCAATGAATGAAAGAATGAAGCTTTGCATATTTAAGCAGGTGCCGACCGGTGCCAGCGCATCAGTCAAGTTGTTGAGCTGCAGGCGGAGCTAGCGATCGCAACAATTTAAGGATACCGATAACTATCGCCGATAACCAACGATAACCGAGAACAGCATGAAACAAGGTAATCCCTCACTCCCTCACTCATTCACTCTCTCTCTCTCTCGCTCTTTCGCTCTTTCACTCTCTTTTTGATTGACACTGATTCACATTGTTAATGCCGTTAATTGTAGCTAGAGGAGTCCTGCCCCTGCTTGTGCTTGCCGTGGTCGCACTGGCCGGTGGCAGCAAACTAGCCGACTTCGAGTCTCTCTCGATAAGTGAGATGTGCGAGTTGCTGCCCACGGATACTAGCTTCCTGCGGCCAAATACGTGCAACTATTGGGTGCACTGTCCGAGCTATACCACCGCATTGGAGGAGGGCACCTGCGCCACAGGACTCAGCTATAACAAGGAGAGGGGCCGTTGCACCGTCTCTGAAAATGTCGATTGCCCCTACGAGACGACTGCAATGAACATTAACACCATTGTCAATGCCTGTGCCAACGAAACGGATGGCACCTTCCTGCCGGATTCCACAAGCCACAACTGCCAGGGCTATCTGCTCTGCAAGGGGCACCGCGAGGTCAAGGCCAACTGTCCCAAAGAGCTGATCTTCAATCCAAGATCTCGCTCTTGTGTCTACCCCACCCAGTACAGTTGCCCGGGCAGCAGCCAAAAAACCAAATCCCCGGTCTGTCGCTCCCTGTCTAACAACACTCGTCTAGCCAATGAGCAGCATTGCCACAAGTACTACGTCTGCATCAACGACGTGCTCTATGAGCGCGAATGTGCCGCTCATAAGGCGTACGATGTCACCCTCGGCCAGTGCGTGCCCGCAGTGAATGCCACGTGCTATGCCACCGCAGCGCTGCCCCCGCCAGAGAATACCTTCTGTCTGGTTAACGGCACAGCCCGCCAGGGCTACTTTGCGGACGACGAGTCGTGCAGCCACTACTACATCTGCAAGGCTCCCACGAATGGCAAGCACGACACGAATCCCCAGCATCTGCGTTGCCCTCTGGGCTTGTACTTCGACTACGAGAAGCTCTCCTGCCGCGATCGTGTCAATGTTCGCTGCCCGCTGGACCGTTGCGTCGATACCACCTTGACCTATGTCAATGTACTAGGCAACTGTCAGTCCTATGCACGCTGCTCGAACGGCGTCACCGTCAGCACTGGCCATTGCCCCACCGACTACTTCTTTGACGAACGCAACCAGGGATGCACGCCCGTTAACCCCAACTATGTCGCCTGCGCGGCCTGATCCTGTCTTCAGTTTATCATTCTATTTGCAACTTATTAAATTAGACCTCAATTTGGTGGAAGTCAAAGAGCATTGCATATTCCTTTAGTTCTGTTTAATTATCATTATCATGCACATACATATATGGGTATGTACATACAAATATGTATACATTAAAATTTGAAGGTCCGATTGAAGTTCCCATGCCGGAATATTCGAGTTCAATAATTACAAGTTTTCATCAGAACTAGAAAACTATTTGCGAGAGAAAATTCAGCATATAAACTGCGTTATCAGGCAGTCAGAAATAAATGTGATATTTTCGACGAATTCGAGAACTCAAATACGAATGCCTTGTACGACACACACCTGATGCCTGCTAATTAATACTGACGAGCGTTGATAGTATGCAGGTGCTTGTAGCAACTCACTGGTAGTAAGAGTCACTGTACCTCTACAGATAAACGGCAAGGTGAGGTGAGCGCAGCGCTATCACGAAAACAAACTGCCGAAATATCTCAGATACATACAAGGTTTCGGATCTCACATTTGAGGCAACTTGAAAATATTATTTCCAGCGCTCATCGCGCGGACAATTCTATGAGCGGCTCGACAAGTAGAACAACTCTACCGCCTCCTAGAAATTATTCACTACACATGTACTAGCAAGAGTGTGCTAGTTGCAACTGCTCGACTAGGAGTTACCCTCTTGCTTGCCTAATCATCTTCTTAGGGCAGATTCTCCACTTATGTGTATTTACCAAAGTCTCTATTTTTCGGAATACGTTCTCTGTGAACCTCGTAAAATAGAAATTCTCTGTGCTCATAGACATGACTAGATCGACTCAGCTCGTCGTTTAGATCTGGAAAATATATGGATTATATGGTGTCTGTAAACCCTCCTACAGCCAGTATACGACTTCGAGCCCGATCTCTGCTTACTACTACATATACTAAAGTTCAATTATCAATGTATATATTTGAAATTAACAGTATACAAGTTCTAGTGAAATTTAACACTCTGAATCCATTTCAAAGCTGAGGAGAGTGAAATTCTTTTCTAGATCTAGGAGGCAACATTTAAGGCAATGGTCAGACGTATATTCAAATAGTTCAAAGCAAGTGCTTATCAAGGTGACTTGCACCTTGTATCTATATTATATATATAAAAGAGAGTTGTGAAAAGTTTTCCAGCACTTATAACGCGAGATCTGCTGGATCAATATTCATGGTTTTTGATTTGTTGGATTTGTCTCCGCTACGAGTAGGATAGTAGATCTTAAAAATACTGAAAAAATTTCACGAATACTTGAAAAACGCGGTTTTTTCCCTAAAGA